CAACCTCGTGCCCCGACATTCGACCCGCGTCGCCGTCAGTTATGGTGGAATGCTACCCTGAAATCCAGGGCCCCTTGATGGAGATTCTAAAACTTTCCCGCAGGAGTACCAATGATTTGATATGCAGGAAAGTCGTAGATGACATGGTCGCCAAGGTGTCCCTGTCCGTGGACAAGGCAAGGCTTGTGGGGCTCCTCGCTGCCATGAAAGGGCCTCGCGAGGTCTACCACATGACCGCCTGCTCCACGGGCCTGAGGATGTCTTTTAAAGCTGTGAACTTTTTGTCGGCGCTTGACGATACATTGCAGGAGCAGTATGTCGCCAACGTCATGTTCCTCTGCGATGTCGAGGACTTGGCAGTGGCTACGATGGGCCAGTCAACAAACCCCTGGCATGTTTCTGCTTGCACTATATCCTGCATCACAGAGACTGCGGCCAGATGTAGCAATGTTTAACATAGCTGGTCCTTCATCTCTTAACACCTTTCCAAAGTGGCTTGTTTGCATTGCTTGTATGCGAGTCTTAACTCCATTGCTCTTCAGCCTTTGTACTTCTCGCTGGCATGTGGCTTCTGCATGTGGCGTGAGCCTGTTTGAAGCATTTCACCTTCTCCCTGTCCTGTTGCATGACTCGGTGTGAGTATCTATCAAGTGCTTATAGTTACCACTGTGAAGCACATTCTTTTCAGATCAACTACCATATTATAAAGACCCAATTTTCAATAATTACAACAAAAGAAACATCCCAAAAAATGTATAGCAAATTTTTCTGTAGGGAAGTGGCTCATAAAAACCAAACGTTTGATCTGGTGTAGTTAAAGTATTACAGAGTGATGCGTGCTCAGCTGTTGAAGGCAGGGACCTTCATGTGCTAAAGGGCGTTGTTTTGGGAACATTTAGAGCTGTGCTACAGATTTGCACTTTTGGCATGAAGTGCAAGGAGAGCATAGAGCGAAAACTAATTCTGTGTTGAACTGGGCAGATCTGATGCAGCAACCTTTAAAATAATTCTGCAGGCTTGACAAAAAATCAGTCGTGCGAGGTGCCTCGAGTGGCTCTTGCATTTCGAGGAGGTAGAACATTACTGGAAGATGAAGAGAACTAGAGCTTAAGTGCCAGCCCCACTCACACCTCGCACAATTCACTGCTTTTTTGACAAGTAAGCTACATCAAAGGTTGCTGTTCAAGATTTGCTGAGCCCGACGCAAAATTGATGCTCTCTCCGCTCTCATTGCCGGTCGATGCTTAAATAACCCTCGTGCTCTTGCAGATGGTTGCAAAAAGACATGCAGCGCAGTTTCAAGTGCTCCTAGAACGACGACCTTAGGTATAACGTCACATGAAGATCCATGCTTTTGACGCCTGTGCGTGAATTACCATGCTACAAAACTACACATAAATTACCACGTTACAAAACTAGTCTTAGAACATTATTACACCTTGTAATCCTTTGAATGTACTATCACAGCATGTGAATGGTGCAAAATGGTTGCTTGCTTTGCTTTGCTTGGGTGGTGGGAAGAGCTTTTGCCTGCTTTGCATTTTGTCTGGCTAATGCTTCCAGGTGGCATGAAGAGCGCCGCATGCCCATCTCAAGCACAACCGCGAATGCGATTCGCACAAGAGGACGAAACTTTGAGGCTCTAGCCTTGGGCATGTGCAGACCGAAGCGCTTCACAAACAAAGCTGTCCAGTATGGTAATTAGCACATACTCAGTTTGGACTTTGGCAATGCACTGCATGATGACATCACAGTGAATGTGTGGAGGCAAAGCTTTGTAGATGATCTGTTTATACATTGTCTTGCATTTTGTCGTACCTTGTATGCATACATGCAGGCATCGAGACGGAGCCAACAACAAGGAAGGAGCTGCAGAGTAAACTGGGCACACCGGTTTTTGAGGCAAGGGATTTTCATGCCCACACTGATCTTGCACTCTTAGTGCAGAAAGATATTTATAGTTTACTGTTTCAGACGGGACTTGTCGTCATGCCCGAGCAGCTCTGGCTCTGCTGCAGTCCGGACGGCCTCATCCAAGTAAGCGGGGAAACCGTCCTCATTGAAATCAAGTGCCCAGAATCGTGCAGGACCCGCCCCATTTTTGATCGTGAAGCAGGAATCTGCAATGTTGCCTACCTCACCAACACGGACGGTGAGCTTTCACTCGAGCCACCGCAACCATACTATACACAGGTGCAGGTACAACTGTATGTGTTGAACCTCAAGAAGGCCATCTTCTATGTGTATAGTCCCAAGGGATCCGAGTCTGTCCTGGTAAAGAGGGACGAGCGTTTTCTCATGGAATCAGTACCAAAATTTGAATATTTTTACTTCACCCACTTTTTCCCAATGTCATGAATCATCATGAAATTACTGTAAAATGCCATTTTTTGGGGCTATGTGTAATTATACCCCATATCTGTAGGGAACACTTAAGTAAAGAAAACATGCTATCAATGAAAGAATAATTTTTATTTTTTAGGAAAAGATCTTCCAAACTTGCCAGTGTAGAATTGATGTTTTTGAATAAAGTTCTTGTTATACAACCTCTGAATCTGTCATATTTATAAATATAAAAGAAAATGTCACCTATACATCTTCACATGTTTACAGGCATGTGCAACATTCAAAAAAATATATATTTGACAGTTATCAGTGTGCACGGCCAACGATGGGGTCATTCATATAAAACATTGCGGCTGAGACTTTCACAAAACGAAAATACTGCAATGGATAGGTTCAACATAAATGCATTGCATGAAGATACATGAATAAAAAAAAAAGAACCACTATAAACACAGCTGCAGTGAATACAAGAATGTGATTGGTGGGAGATTAATCGACGAAGTAAAAATCACACAAAAAATGCCTCCCAATTTATGAAGAAATAAACCAGGCACTACCTCTCCTCGTTTGCAACTTTTGCCAAGTTATGCCGAAATGGAGTACACGCTAACTCAAATACAGAAGAGCGACACCAGCATGAGGGTACAAAATACCTGCTTCCAATACCAAAATGAGACAATGTTCCCACTAGCTGAGTAGATGTAAAAAAAAAAAATTGGGTTGTGTGTATCTTTATACAGCCTAGAACTTGGTCTGCCTCAATGGGCAACAAATCTCCCAGCTGTAGATGAGCAATTTAGCCAGTGTAGTACAACCGCTAGCCCGGAGTCTTTAACGTGCACCACGCAGTAGTGGTACACGACCGCACGATGCTCATCCAGATTGAAACGGGCAGGGGTGGGGATTGAACCCAGGATCCCTGGGTTAAATTCATTTAGTCCACTTGGGTATCTTTCACATGCAACCGATACACTATAGCTTCACTGCAACTAGCCTCTATCAAATGCCCTCGTTGCCTAGGATGTGTTCCAAATCTTACTCAAATGGATCCGTTACTATGGCAGATCATGTCGTGTGATGACGCAGGTGGAGTAACGCTGGATGCTGGTACGTTTTTCTACGCTGAAATACAAAACCCTTACCCTGGAGTAAGATCGAGTACATTTTGGAACACGGCCCTAGTAACTTCTATGGATGTTTAGACAGTGGGGGTTAGTCTGCCTTGACAGGCCTCTGATGCGTGGTGTAGATGAGAAATTTTGCGAGGGCAGTGTGACCAGCAGCCTGCAAGGAGTCGCTACACAGACCTTCCAGACAGCAATATTGTTTTAGGTTCAGATTATCTTTGGTTCATTAATTTAGTCAAGAGAAAGGGTAAGATTCGGACGCATAAAAAAAAGAAGTAATGTTAGACTTCACTTGGAGGTTGCACTAAGAGGACAAGACAAGCACCTGACTAAACACTTAAAGAATAATTAGCTCAGGTGTACTAATTTCATCTTAAAAATCTGAATCAAGCCTGTTGCATAAATGTTTACAGTGGGAAGCTGGTCTGCCTCAAAATGGCACCTGGAGTCTCGGCTATGAGGGCCAATTTCTTCGATGTAGTACAACTGCTAACCTGGAGTTTCTAACGTGCATTAGACGGTACCATATTTTTTGGTCCATAAGTCGCACCATTGTATAAGCCAAACCTCCTATAAACAGTTGTTTTTACGAAAAAGTTGGTACATAAGTCGCACCTTTGTATAAGTAGTACTTGTATTTTTGCACGGTCATCCTGTGGCAAGGCTGCATAACTGAAATCCATACATATAGAGAAAAACATACATAGGTCGCACCACTATAACATGCGCCGAGTGAGGTTGTGGAAAACAAAAACCCCAGTTTCTACACAGGAAAATATTTTAACCGTTACATGATGATGAAATTACAGTTACTGTATAGTCGGGAGCAAAAGTTTATGGGGCACGGGAGCGCGTGCCGAAATACATCGCCCCGCCGTTCGATGGCGCAACGCCGCATTAAGGAGACGCGCTTTGCGCATGCGTGCCTTTCGTGTTCGCATTCATGTCTCTTTCGCTCGTTTCTTTCCGACGCACTGCTGATAACAGGAGCCGGCGCCAGGGGCGCGAGTTAGCGCTTCGCTGGCTGTCATGCTGCGCGTCTGCTTCAGCTGCCGCGCTTTGTCACGGAGCTCGCGTAGGGAAGGGGAGGGGGTTAACCAGGCGCTCCGTCACCCAGCGCGGCTGCTGTGGCGGCCGAAGAGGACGCCAGGCATGACAGCCAGCGAAACGGCAACATGCGCCCCTGGCGCCGACTCCGGTTATCAGGAGTAAGTCAGACAGAAACAAGCGAAAGAGACATCACTGCCAGCACGAAGGGCGCGCATGCGCAAAGCGCGGCTTTTTAATGCGGCGGCGCGCCTACGGCGTGGCGATGCATTTCGGCACGCGCTCTGGTGCCCCGCAAACTTTTGCTCCCGACTGTACATGACAATATTTTCAGAAGCCAACAGTTGAGGGAAGTCTCCAAAGTGTGCATTACCATATTTGTAGCATTTTCTGCACAAACGGAAGGAACAGCTAGGTAGATGAAGACAGATAAACAATGTTTCGTACTTGGCTCAGTTCGAGACATTGTTTATTGTCTTCTTATTTCTTTATAATTGGTGTCTGCATGTTAACAAGAGCGGAGCATACTTGGACGACCTGGTCCATTTGTGGGATTAGAGTGAGCGGGATTCTGTGTTTCAAAATGTGGAAATTTTTCAGCCTTTGAATTACTCTCTCCACATGGATGCGGACCTGCGCAATGTGGAAGGTGTTGTCCATGTCCTCTTGGGAAAGCTGCTGACCTCCAACTGAGAAAGGCAGCATGACAAGCACAGCACCCTTCTCAGCCATGGTAGTCCGGATGCTGGGAAAGCCCCTGTCGCTTAAAACGACATCGCCGGGTTGAACCAAAGATAAAAACCCTGAATTTACTGTGATGTGACTGTCACTCTGTCGCCCCCCATAGATTTTAGATACGAATGAAATCATGCCATTAGGAATTATGCCAATTAGTAATTTGATGGTGTAGCCACTCTTGTAACTCGAGTACATGTAGTGCTGCTGCTCAGGGTCGGAGGGAGTTTCAGTACGAATCTCTGTGCAATCTATGATAAATGTACAGCCTGGATAGTGTGTTTTGAAGGCCGGTGGCAGCGACTCATTGATGATGTCTCGAGCTGGCACAAACACCCAGCGCTCGAGCCTCACACTTAGAATGTCCAGTAGTGTTTTGAATGTTCGAGACGCTGTCGTCTTGTGGACCGAGAAGAGGGCGGCTAGTGCAGTGAAGCTGATCCCCAGTTTAAGCTTCATAAGGAAGAGGGTGAGTTTGTCCTCAGCTGAAATGTCGCTCTTTCTGTACCTGGTTGCTGGTGTGAGGCTTAACAAACTAAAAACAGTCATGGTGACCCCACATAGGTCCTGGAGAGCGTGCTCGGATGACTTCAGCGACTCGAAGTCAAGGAACCCACACTGCCGTCGGCAGTCTCCCTCCGTGCTTGAAACCTGAAGAGAGAAATTGCAAAATATAAATCACCTCTATACATATTGCCACACGCTTACGTAGCCAAGTCGGCAGCACATCCGGCTCACACGCAGGTGGTTCGGGTTCGATTCCTGGCACTGCGTGTGGTTTATCTTTCTTTGTGAAAGTAGAAGTTTGGGAAAATTGGAGAACCATCTAGCGTATTCATGGGCAGAATGTATAGTGCAAGAAGGATCGAGGTAGAATATTCTAGGCTCCCATGGAAGCCGCGCCGTGCCGTACAAGTCAGTCTCGCTCTTGTGCTTGATTGTGCTACTCTGTCGACTTTCGACACTACCTCTTTGTATTTGTGTTTTCAGCTCAAGTTTGCCAAATCAAATGTTTTGTTTCTGTTCATTCGTCGCCTCATCATCTGTCATTCGTGACAATATGAGTACTTTCAATTGAGCTATGCAAAGTAGAAACTAAAGTATGGGAAGTTGCGTGTAATCTTGAAACTAGGACATTAAAATTACCGCATTGACTTGTTCTGCGTGAGTGACCTGGATCGATCCGTCCTGGCCATCCGTTGCGGATAACAAGAGCCTCAGTGGTCCTCCGATCTGTGGCGCGGGATCACACTGTGTTCCCTAAGGGGCAATAACAGGTAAAACAGGCTCTATAATAATGCTCATAAATTTGATGCCACAAAGAAATAAAGAAATTATCTGCACTGACATTGGTAAATATTGAGGTAAAAAATAGTGGGCATTAATATGTAAAGACAGAATTTGTACCTGCGCTTGTAATCGGGGTTTCTGAATAATGTGTTTAACAATCGCATAGCACACAGGATTGCTCACCACTGTAGACGTGTGCTTCTCTGGCACCGCCTCGGCTGCAACGTCCACCAGCATCTGGAGGGGGTCCCAGTCAGCAACATTCTCGTCCTCGGCGGTGTCCTCCGACCTTGGCGGCGCACTGGGAACAGTAGGCGTCTCCAGCTGTGGTGGCTGAGGCTGAAGTCGTCCTGACCTGTTGAGCAGCCTATAAAAGGAACTATTTAGTACTTTTACCATATGTCCCAGAGAGGGTTTTGCATTGAACAATAAGGCTGTAGAAAAATTTTGAAACAATTGTCAGTAAAACAGGTCATTTTGCACAGCAACAGAGACCTCCTGGAGCCTGCTTGGGTGGTGCTACGTTCTTTTAATTACAAGCAAAATATCTTCGTGCGTCTTTTTATAACTGAAAATATTCTACTTCAAGTCGAATTCTAAAGAATTGTGCATATCACGAAATTCAATTCCGGTAAATGCAGAATATTGGTCTCGGGTTGGTGTTTTTGTAACGATAAATATCAACCAGCTTGCTTGGCTTTTTTTTAAAGTACATCTTATTCGAAAATACCCTCCTACTTTCATCGAAAATCAAATCCGGAAATGCAGAGCTCTAGACATAAATCAGGTTACTAGTACCTCTTCGCCCTCTCCGCGTTGGGTGCCTTTTTTTTGTACACTGGAGGAAAGATGGTCGGGATGTAAGATGGGTGGGCCTCCGCGTCGTTCCGGCAATTGTCGACGAAATTGGCACTACATATCCTGGTCGACGCTGAGGGCACCCAGTTCGAACCGTCCTCGCTGAAAAAAGGAACAATGTAAGACTTTTGTTGCGATATACGAAAAACCGAGACGAAATAAAATGAGAACGACAGGGAGGAGTTTGTCGTCCCGCTTTATTCGATAACAGTACGGCGTCTCGGGAGCGTACACGCGCAGCCGAAGCAGGGCAAAAGCGTCTCGGGAGCGTACACGCGCAGCAGAAGCACGGCAAAAGTAAAGCGCTGGAGAGCGCTCCAGGCGAAAGGCAACGAGAGCGACGCCGTTCTCACCTTGTCAATGACTAAATTTAAAATAATAATGCAAAGAAAGTGCGACGTGGCGATCTGGGTCCCGCCAATCACCACACTTAATCGAACGCAACATAAATGGGATATCCAGTCATACACGCATGGCCAAATTGCTTTGCCGCGTTTGGCATTCACACTGTTTATGTTCTGAAACGGATTCCACCTCGTTTCTCTTTCGGTATACAGAGCGAAATTCATGCATCAACAAAAGAGAAGCTTACTTTTGCCGGCGCACTGCCGCGATCCAGGCTTGGCGTCGTGCACACTCGTACGGCCTTCCAGGAAACCGATAGAACTTCAACGGTTGGCCACTAGTTCTGCTACTACCACAGTCACGGAGGTTATTACTGCAACCGACCACACAACAGTACTGAGTGCCAGGCGCGCGTTTTTTTTCTATCGCAACTGCCTCGATTAGCGTAGTCCACTGGCGATGGCGTCGAGGCGGGAAGAAAAACGCGAACCACTCGGACGATAGCGTCCCACCAGGGGCTGGAATGGCGCTTTAGTTGGCGGCAAAACTTGAGCGCTTCGGCGCTATAGCTCTTTCCTCTTCTTAAACCCGAATTGCAATAGTCTAAGCTTGGCGCAATATAGCCTTAGTTGCTGATGCGCCAAAAACCCCCAATCAATCAATCAATCAATCAATCTTGTCGGTGTTCAAACCGAAGTTCCCGTAAATATCCGCAAGCATGTCGGCCACGTGGTGGTATGAATGGGTTCCTAGAAACCTCTTGCAAGCCAAAGACACCGACTCTTGCTTAAGGGTATCAGGTGAAATCTGAAAATATACAATCCTTATCAAGCTTTAATAAAATAAACTTAAATTGAATTCAACATTTAGGACAAGTAACAGTTACTCAGGAATGTTGCAAAGCAAATATAGCCGTCAACTATGATTCTGAGAAAATCTCAAAAACATGCGGACAGACGTAAAAGCCGTATAGTAGAAGTTGCCTAAATAAAAAAAAATAACATTTAGTCAGGATGCTATTTTAGAAGGAGATGTGCCCGTGATATGACCAATGTGAATTCCCTGCATCAAGAGAGTTCCGGAATGGCATTTCTTAGGAATTGTTTTTACGTAGGACACGACTTCAAGAGTATTGAGATTGACAAATGAAGACAGGTCACCCCAAAAGCCTGTAAGCCATTAACATGATATTTATTTATTTATTTAAAAATACTACCAGTTTCCATCGGAAACTTTAGAAGGGTGGTTACAAGGTAAAACACTATTTACATACTTTATAGTGCAATGTTAAAAAAGAAGACAGTGAGGAGGATGGGGCTATTCAGTGGAGACACGGAAGGATCTTAATACACATATTACACTTGTAAATGGGGAAAATAACATTAAACCGCTAGAATAGGATGTAGCCTTCCATGATTCCTTCTCTTAGCTCTGGAAATGTGTGAAGTAACATATTTGATTTTATCTATAAGGGTTTGGTCATTTAATATTTGAAACAGGAACTTTAGTCTTGAGATTTTTGCCCTTTTCTCGAATGGTGTCAGTTCAGCTAGATCGCAAAAGTGGGACGGTGAGTCAGAGTAGCGAAATTTATTAAAAATAAATCTAGCAGCCAAGCGCTGCACCTTTTCTAGCTGAGCGACGTGTGTTTTATAGTGGGGGAACCATACGACATTAGCATATTCCATTATGGGACGTACGAGAGCCTTATAGGCTACTAACTTTGTTTCGTGGGATGCTGATTTTAAAACTCTTCTTAGATACCGTAGTTAATTGCTTTGGTAGTAATGAAGTCGATGGGAGTTTCCCACCTAAGGCTCTGCTGAAATTGGAGTCCAAGGTATTTGTACTGTCATATCATAAAAAAATGTTGCGATGTGTATCACCCAGTGAGCTGTAGTGCCTATAAAACTCCTTGTTGTCGACGACCAGACATCTGCGGTGGTGCACACATGCGTAGCAGACTGCAGTGCACACCGAATGGCGCTGACCTTCCCCTCAAATCTTCATCAATTCTCCGAGACAGTCCTTCGCGACATCACCGTAACTGTGGGGCACATTCCTAAAAACAAATCAAAAACAATATATGTTGATTAAGATTGATAAAATATTATTAATGTTGTGCGGTTCAAATGACAGTAAAGTCAATGTATATCACCTTTCACAAATTCCTGGAACGGGTCTTCGTCCACGAGCTGCAGAGGTACCATGGTTTTACTACAAAGTTTTGTGGGAGCTGGTCGAACTTGTTTTGGCTTACGCGTGCAGGAACGTTCATGAAGTTCTGAAGCCTCTTTTGGCTGCCACATTCCTGAGATCGCTCACCTCCATTCTGCGCGTCGCGTCCGCTACAAGCTTTTTCAGGCCTCTGCAGTGGCACGTAAAACCCCCAAATTTGACTTGAGGCCTCTGCAGATACTTGTCATATTCCGCTGCCTTTTTTGGGAACACCCGCGAGGGTAGGAAAAGAAGACAAAAAACATGGCATAAGTCAGTCTAAACAAATGCATAAGAATGATTTCGAAATGAATAATGTTAATGGAGTACTCACAGTGAGATGCAGCTTAAAATTAGACGTGGACGTTCTTGACCAAAAAAAAAAAAAAACCTCGTGCAAAATTAACATTTTGCTTTTAATGTATTACTGTTAGGCGTAAGCGAGTCTTCAACAGGTTGAAAAATTTACCATCAAGAATAGAGCGCGGTTCTTCCTTCGACATCTTCCTTAGGCGACACCTTCTGAAGGAAAATTTCACAAACAGTGAACCTCTATAAATAGGTACAGTGTCCCCCCAACTAATCTGGGTCCCTCTTTTTCTGTCTCTATCTCTAGGATGCAGAGAATATTTTGAAGTGGACAGTCTCACAAGAGGGCGAAGAGGAGAAGTGCCTTATAAGGGGAATGGGAAAAGGGAAACGTCATCAGGCAAAGGAGGAAAAAGGGATTTCAGAAAGGAGGAAGATGATCGGAACCTAACACAAGGAAGGAGGTCAGGACTGAAGTTCTGAACGAAGAAAGGCAAGGACCGCCTCTGAAAGAACGAGGGAACGGGAACCGATGTCAGTTGGAACTTGAACGGACGCGAAATTATTGAGGCCTTCGAGATGCGTCACCGTACCCCCCCCCCTTCCCTGAAAAAAAAAGAAAGATAAAAGAGCTGGGGAATGTAACGAGATACATTGGTCCCTGATTGTATCTCGATATCAGGAATATTTGTAAATATTATTTCGATACTGAAATATAAATACTCATCTGAAATTGTATCGCGATACAGAAATACCGATACAAAACGTATTTCTGAATTACTATCACGATACAATTGTATCGCGATACTGCCCAACCCTGGTACTGTGTTAAAAAAAGAGACAATAAAATATTTATTTATTTAATTATTCAGAATCCGAAAGAAAATGAGGCGCGGCAGTGCAGAAGCTTCCGGTGAGAAACAAGCAAACAAATATTTCCCTCCCTTTTAGAGAGGTGTCGTCTGCTAGCAGCTCAACCCGCCAATTGCAAACGGCAATCTCCGTTGGTGGGTCGTCCGCTACCTGCGTTTTGAGCTGCACTTTTCGTCGTTGAGCACCGTGATTGCGTCCGCGCCCAGGTGCTGAGTTTCGACACCATGGATCGCGAGGTTCGCTCGCATCGGCAAAGGAATCAAAAGAGGCGGCAATGGTGCAAGGCGAAGAAGCTTGCATCGGAGCAAATCGAGATCGTTCGGATGCAACAGGTTACCGATGACTCCACATCAGACGACGAGCCAATGAAAGAAGACAAAGGGATAGTCAACCCTTCCTCCCAGAGCTCTACCGGCCACGGAGAGTCGCCAAAAGCCACAGCGTCGGGGAGCAGAACA